AAAGTTCAAATCAAGTTCAAGTCTTACTGTTGCTTTCTAAAGTGCAACACAAGTTATCAGTTGTTTAATTAGCTGTGCTGTCTGCACAGGGAGCCAGCCTTCAATCAGTGACCATTAGTCATCTGAAAACGGTTATTTGAAAGTGCAATGAGTTGTTCTCCTTTGGTTTTGCACACCTGGGTTTTAATGCTATTTGCAACCACAGAGTAAGAATAGCATAGCATTGTTTCCTCCAGCTGACCAAGGAAAAACACAGTCATTCTGAAACTCTCTCACACACGTCATTACCTCAACTTAAAACCATAGAAACTGTATAAGGAAACGTTTTTGGGGGTTTTTTTGGTTTTTTAATCCGTCCAAAAATAATATTAATATTAGAATTCAGCTACAAAGCTTCTTTAAATGCGCACATCAATATTTACGTCAAGCCAATTTACAGACAATAGTTTGTGTTGAAGACTCAATATGATAAAGGCATAAATACCAGCAGCTTCGAAGCCAGGATAGCTACAATTTTAGCCAATCAACTTGCTGCCGTACAAATTAACTTGACTGCAAAACCAGAGAAATTAACATTTATACAGAAATTCTAGACTTGAATTTACTAACTTTTAGCTGCAGTATTTTTTTTTACGACCAACACAAAATTGAGCCGCAGAACTTATTGAGCTGCAAAACTGCTAATTTAGTGACTATGCTAACTCAAAAGTAGTCACCCGAACATAAAATTATGTTTCCAGTGTAGATCTTTCCTCGCCTCCAGCAAATCTGTCACGATCGTCGAATACAAACACACTTGTTTCCCGTTGGGTTTCAGATTGCAGAGGGCATGGCCTACATAGAGCAGAAGAATTACATTCACAGAGACCTGAGGGCCGCTAACGTGCTCGTGTCCGAGAGCCTGCTCTGCAAAATAGCCGACTTTGGCTTGGCGAGGGTCATAGAGGACAACGAGTACTCCGCACGGGAAGGTAAGCCTTGTGTGGGAAGGAGCGGATGAGTGCGCCTTCCAGCTTCTCTGTTGTGCAAGATGCTTTTTTTTTCTTCTTGTCACACATTAGCCATTTCCTTTACTCCCTGTGATAGACTGAAGCAAAAATTTTAAAAAAGAAAAAAAAAGAAAGCCCCCCTTTTCCTGGAAAGGGCTATTGTGTTGGGCAACAGGAAAGACACTTTTTGTTTCGTTTTTCAGATAATGTGCCTTTTAGACTCTTGTATTAAAGTGTATTACACAAGACATTTATGTCTTGATCTTTTATTTTTTTTTATTTTTGTTTTTCCTGTTAGTGTAGAGAACTGGGGACACATGTTCAGGCACTTCAGAAATCAGTCATTTTCCATTTATTTATTTTTTACAGTAAATTAAATGAATACATATTAAAGAAAAACAGATTTTTTTCACACTAATTTAAACAAAACAACTTAACACTGTCCGAGAAAATCTGGATCAACATACTAACGAAAAGAATTCGATTGTGTGTAATAAATCTCCAAATCTGTCGTGTATTTTCGGCGACAGTAAGAGTGGAAAAGACTGATGTAGTGCACACGAGCGAGAAATACATTTGCAACCTTTAAATGGAGCCAAGAATCAGTCCTTGTAACTGAAATAAGGAATTATAAGAGTCACAGTTTGGCTTCCCACGAAATGTTTGAAAAGTGTCCTTTCAGAGAAACCAGTCTGGAGTGGATAGCAGAGCAAATGTAGCATATTTGCATGTTCCACTTGGGAAAATAAAAAATAAAAAAATAATAAATCAAGACAGAGTATTTGGGGATTTTTAAAGAACGGACGTATTTATGTTTGGCTGATGAATGAAACTTGTCTGCCTACTCATCTGGAACCAGGAATCTATCAATAAACTTGTGGGTCCATAAATAGACTGGAAAACTTTCCACGACACACAAGCACAGGTGTCGAGTGGGATTGAGAGATGCACTGGATTATTTACATAGACTAGGCAAACTATGTGTAAATATACTAGAGTTTGTTGATTAAATGTTATGTCTCTCTTTGTCTGTGTGTGTGTGTGTGTGTGTGTGTGTGTGTGTGTGTGTGTGTGTGTGTGTGTGTGTGTGTGTGTGTGTGTGTGTGTGTGTGTGTGTGTGTATCGCCTTACTTTGCACAGGTGCCAAGTTTCCCATCAAGTGGACCGCTCCAGAGGCCATCAACTACGGTACCTTCACCATCAAATCAGACATGTGGTCTTTCGGAGTGCTTCTCTATGAGATTGTCACATATGGAAAAATCCCATATCCAGGTAAGAAAAGTGTGTCACTGCAGCCGCGTTCTCCATGGTGTGAAATCAATCATATTTATGATAAATATATTTGCAAATAAGGTTTAAAGATTTGGCACTTTGATTAACTTCAGAAATTAGCAGGTTGCTATTCCACAAGGTGGAGTTTAGACGTAAAAGATAAATGCGACAAAACCGGTCTCCTTCTCTGGAATTTGTACGCTTGAATTATTTGATCGAATGAATTCATCTGGTGCAAAATTGACAACAAACGTCGCTGCCAAGGACCCAAGTGCAGAGCAAAAGGTAAGGAGGAAAATGAGAGTTTTGAGAAAATCCCAAACTTACTGAAATTGTAGGAACATGGAAGCGCGTGGACAGGCAACCAGGAAAAAAAAAGAAAAAAAGAAGTGTCGGAAAGCTCCAATAACAATGTAAATTCAGGAACTTAAATTAGATGCAAATGGGAAACAACTAAAACAGAAAAAAACACCCAAAGAACAAAATGCAAAAATAAACTAAGAAATTAAGTATGAAAGGGCTGAACTACATGGAAAGATATTTTGAACAATAATGAATCCAGGGCCCTGAACAGAATGTAGTAGGACATAAACTAATATAAATATCAAAACACAAGCACAATTCAAACAGGCCTGGATCATGAAAAAAAAAAACAAAAAAACAAACAAAAACAAAAGCTAGATGTAAGTAAGATGTTTTTCTGGCTCAGTCATCATTGTCGGCACATTGTCTGGCATTATACTGACATCTGCTGTCCTCTGCCTGGATGCCACACGAGCTCCTAACTTGTGTCTGCACTTGTCTCTAAGGGATGACGAAGGGAGAGGTGATGTCCTCCATACAGCGCGGCTACAGGATGTCCCAGCCCGAAAACTGTCCGTCCGAGCTGTACGAGATCATGATGACCTGCTGGAAGGACAAGCCCGAAGACAGACCCACCTTTGACTACATACAGAGCGTCCTGGACGACTTCTACACCGCGACAGAGGGACAGTACCAAGATCAGTCGTAGCTCCGCCGAGCCGGCGGGACATCCCATAAGGACATGTTATATTATCATCCACTCCACTGGTTGTGTGTGTTGTTTTTTTTAAAACTTCTTTACGGTTTTATTGTATACATATCCTACATGCTGATGTCCACTGAATTTCAAAGATTTTATATAGTTTTTCAAACAATCTCAATGAAAGACGTTTTCTTTCAGGATATTCTGAACAACATGGATTAATTTTGTTTAGTTTTTTTTTTTTTTTAATGGATGTGACCTGTATTTAAATGAGATTGTAATGGTAAGTATATTTGAGAAATGTGGTCTAAATGTAAACGCTTTAAATGTGTAATTTGGACTGACTGTATGCAGATCTTTTAGAAGGCTTTTCGTTAGTATAAGCTGGACAGGAAAAAGTGTATGTCATACATTTGTGTGTGTGTATATATATATATATAAATATTTTCAAAGACCTAATAAATTCATAAGCTGCTTTAAAATACGGACTCTGGACTCAGAACGTTACTGTGTTTGGAAGTAAGTGAATGACTAAGCTGGACTGCTACATGTTAGCCGACATAATCTTACCAACTCCAGATATTAAACAATATGAAATACATTATTTTTTTTCTATGTAATGATTGAAAGCCTGAGTTATTATATCAAACATCATGTTGGGTATTGAATGACTGTACATTTTGTATGAAATAATTTTAAAAAATACACATATGCAGAAGTTATTTGTTATTTTGTTTAAGTTTCAGTTTTAGAAATGTGTTATTTGAAAAGTCGGACCTCCGTTTGTGTTTCACTCGTGGTTTGCTGGGTTCCCCCGACTTTCCTTTGTGTGTCGACGTCTTAGACCAGAAGAGACTCCAAAGGCCAGTGTCTGGGTACCTCTGTGTGTTTGGAGGCACTGATGAACACAATTTTCCCAGGATTGTTTGTATCACTCTCCCAAGTTGTTTTTATTCCGGTTCTGGTTTCAATATTTTACTGAGAAATGAGTCACCTCTTTAAAAAACGGATGAAATGGGTTTTCTTGGAAATTCCTTCTTTTAAAGGTAACATGAAGCGCTTGTATGACTCCCGTAAAACAGCAGAAATCAACTTTTTTTTTTTCAATGAAGAAAAATGAATTATTAAACGCAGGAACGTGTGGTATTTTTTTTTACTTAATGGTATTTTTGATTTGTTTCATTTTGTCTGATTTGTTCCACAGATTCTCCCCACATATTGAAGCACACTTTCTTTCAAGTTCAAAGCTGCAGCATGACATTTGTTAAAAAAAATTTTCAGAGACAGGCGCTGTCAATCAAGAGTGTGTACGCGCTGTTCAATGTGCTAATGGTAGAAAAACGTTCTTATCCCAGCTGGCAAACTGCAGAGTAACATAGAAAAGAGGAGTGTGTTTAGCATTAAATTTCTAAAAGAAATAAGATTATATAGAAGAATATAATTGAATAAAATAGATAGTACTTTGACTCACGTTCTGACACAGTAAATGCTTTGATGCCTCCCACCATACTGCAGCTTTCATGGCCATACAGTAGTTTGAAGTTGACTTACTCTCTGAGTAAGCTGTAGTTGACTAAATTAGTGAGTTTTGTGCCATGTAGAAAATAAAACATATTACAGTGGTGATATTGTGTCAAAATAGATTCGCAACGACTGAAGAAGAGGGGAAAACATCAAACGAGACAGGCGCTTTTATTTTGAAAACGTCAGTGCGCCCTGGGTGACTGGTCACGTGGTCTTCCAAGATGGCCGCGCCCTCTCGCGGTCAGCGGGGCCAGTTGAAAAGACGAGCCGCAGATTCGAAGTGACGACTTGAGACGCCGCCAGAGGAGCTTTCGGGTCAAACCTGTCGCTTCTTGAGCCCCGCAGACATGAGCGACAACAACTTTATCCTGTAAGTAACCTGCTTCTGCCGCCAGCGCCTTCAGAGAGCCGGGATTAGCCGCAGCGGGTTTTGTAGCAGCTAGCTGCTGAAGCAGGAACTTTACGAAACCTGCTGACGAAAGAATGAACGAACCTCTTCTTCATTCATCACGTTTTAATCGGAAATGGACTAAAAACAAACCGGCCTGACTAGTGTGTATCTCCTCCTCATTTACAGAAAATGTTGATTTTTATTAGTTTATTATTACTATTATTGTTGTTGTTGTTGTTATTTCACTCATTGAAAGTGCACCCGAGGTAATAGTTCATTCTTTCAGTCTTAATTAAAAAAAAAACTATATATGTACACATAAGCACGTTATCCTAATCTCAGTCTTATATTTTTTAAGAATAACATATGTTGAGTATTAAATTTCTCTGGCTGGGATCCATCCTCATTCAACCGTTTTTCTTCTGCTGCTGGCAGATGATAAGGAAAGAGAAGAGGGTTATCTGTCATTCTCACTTAGGGCAGGTCAGCTCAGGATTCTCAGGGTCATAAAGGGGCTTTTAGTGTGTGTGTGTGTGTGTGTGTTGTCTAAAGGTTAGGGTGTTCAGCAATTTGGGAATGGGAGCTCCAAAGGAAAGGAAAAGACCGACCGAAACTGGTGAGGCTTTTGTCATTTCCCACATGGAGACGAGTCTGGAACAAACGAAGGCCATTCAGATGTGAACAAGCCATTCCTTCAAACCGAAAAATAAAGAGCCAGATTACTTTCCAACTGGATTCAGAGTCATGTCTTGGGCTCTCCTCATGAGCAATCCAGACATTTGAAAGCAAAACAGAGCAGCTTTTTAAACCGTAGAACTTCATCCCAGTTGCTTAACATGGTGGTGGCAGCGTCATGTTATTATCCTGCCGTTATTAAAACGGCAGGATTCCCCAAAGCCCTCCAGTATTTTCAAACCCAGAATGCTCCATAAGCTCAAAACGTTAAAGTAGCTAAATTTGCTCTCGGCCTTCCTGTTATCTCCTCCGTTTTGTCATCTCACAGCCTGAGATATATCAAAATATGGTTAACCCTAACAGAAAGGAGTCAGATGCTCAAATGGATAAAGCAGGACCCATTTCCTCAGTCCAAAGCATGAACTTTTTGCCTTTAAGAAACTTTTCATTGCTTCCTTTGACTTCCTGTTTAAACACAACACAAAAAAGAACGGCAACTTTGAGCCCACTTCACTTATAAGCTACAACTCAACTCTTTTTATTTTTATTTTTTTTGAACCCACTTCACTTACAAGCTACAAGTCAACTTTTTTCTTTTTTTTTTTGTAAGTCTTCAGTTGATTAAGCTGAAAATCTGCTGATCTATCCGTTGGTTCTTTGTGCGTCTCTAACTGGATGTTTCTCTTGTCCAGCCCCAAAGACTTTCCTGAGCTGAAGAACGATACGTTCCTGCGAGCGGCGCGAGGAGAAGAACCCGAACACGTCCCAGTCTGGTGCATGAGACAGGCCGGGAGGTATTTGCCAGGTACTGATGACCTTTAACCCTTCTCACAAAGACACTGGAAGCTCTTGGCTATTTGTGAAAACTGTTTGGCATGCATGCATTCTACAATCTTTTCTCTTTTTTTTCCTTTCTATACTGAATATTTTTGTCGGTCGGTAAGCCCTTTCCCCCCGTTGAATGTTTGTCTGCAGAGTTCCGCGAGATCAGAGCTGGGAAGGACTTTTTTGACACATGTAGGTCTCCTGAAAACTGCTGTGAGCTCACCCTGCAGGTAAAATCTCCCCTAAATCCAAACATGATTTAGGGGAGAAAAAAACAAAAATACACAAAAGGCCTGATTTGGTGGAACGCTTTGCTTTCTTGGACTGATGAAGCTCTTAATCCACTTCACCTTGAAATATTCTCTGTTCTCCTTCCAGCCTTTGAGGCGTTTTCCCTTCGATGCTTCCATCATCTTCTCTGACATCCTGGTCATCCCACAGGTGGGTCACCTAGCAACAGCTGCGGTCATTGGACGTGTCCATGTGGAAATAAAATATATTTGATGAACTGATAGAAATTTGGTGTGTGTTTACAGTGTGTTTTGTAAAACAAAAGGTCATTTTACTTATGCAGCACATTTTCAGCAAACAACACAAGCACTTGTGTTTTATTTAGTTTGACACCCTGAAATAAAACTCAGTGCAGAATTGACCTAATCTTTTTAGTTTTATGTTACTTACTGTGAGAACATTTACACGCCAGACGATGCGCCTAACTTGTATTTTCAGGTTTCTTCATAAACATGGAGCCGTTTCTGTCTTTGCCCTTCATTTCAGGCCATGGGAATGGAAGTCCAGATGCTGACCGGCAAAGGCCCGACGTTCACCGACCCGCTGAAGGAACCCGAGGACCTGCAGCGCCTCCGGGCCAAGGTGGACGTCAGCAAAGAGCTGGACTACGTCTTCAAAGCCATCACTCTGACCAGACACAAGATCGAAGGGAAGGTGCCGCTCATCGGCTTCACGGGCGCGCCGGTAAGAGAGAAACCCAGACCCGGCCCGGCGGTCGGTCCACGAAACCCCAGAAGTGTTTTAACCGTTTTGTCGCGCCACAGTGGACCCTGATGTCGTACATGATCGAAGGCGGCGGCTCCACCACCCACTCCAAAGCCAAGCGCTGGCTGTACCGCCACCCGGACTCCAGCCACATGCTGCTGAAGATGCTGGCCGACGTGATCGTGGAGTACCTGGTGGGACAGGTGGCGGCCGGAGCGCAGGTCAGAACCCCTCCGTTCGCGGAACGCATTTAGAAATGTGTTGCCACTTGAAACACACTTAACAGGGGCACCATTCATGCTATGCAGGGCAGTGTAGGATGTCATTTGCAAAGACGAATGTTGATTTGTTGATTTGCTCCAGTCTACAGGGAGACGGGTTTTCCTTAGCCTCAGCAGGAAAAACATCTGATTCAGCATTTTCCTTTTGATTTTCTATTAAAAAAAAAACACAAAAAGCAGCCCTGACACAAAAAGTTGCCATGAGTCATTTGGTTGTCGGGTTATTCTAGTAATATAATTATTATTTTTTTCTTTAGAAGTGACTATAGAGGTAGTTGCATCGCTTTAAATGTTTACATTTTGGCCTCTTACAGCCACAGTTCCACATATTTTATTGGATTTTCATTACTAGATGGACACAAAGTGAGCATGAATGTAGCATTGTATTATTTATAGTTATCTTTTTATTATTACTTATGTGTTGTGTGAAACTTCTGCTTTGTTTTTGCGCTTTCCTGTCACAATAACAAATTTTGCAGAAGGACAAATTGTCCCAGATGTTATTGCGACAAATCATAATATTGCTGTTTTGAGACCCTTTAAGTAACGTGGTGTAATAACACAAGATCAGTAAACTTAAAATAAGAAGATTGATGAAGATAGCGAAACTAGATCTAAGCTCCCAGTTTTATTAAAGTACAACTTTGCTTTTTTTCCCCCCCCCTCGATGTAATGACCCACTCAGTGACTCACGTTGCATCGCCCTTACTCAAGCACTTTTGCAACAAGTGTCCTCTGTCTGCCTACACGCTCAGGTCTAATGCACAAGGGGGAATTCGCTGGATGAGAAATCACGAGCAGCTTTGACTCGTGGCGAGATTTACTAACCGGCTAATTTTACCCGTCCAACGTTGTTGGTGTTTGCAGGAAAGAAGAAGAAGAAGAAGAAGACAAAAACGTGATGCGGGGGAACTCGTGGAAAAGCGTTTTGTTTTGTCAGAGGTTCGCTCAGCCTCCTCATTGGGTTTGTCGCTCTGCAGGCCCTGCAGGTGTTCGAGTCGCACGCCGGCATCCTGGGCCCCGTGGAGTTCAGGGAGTTCTCCCTGCCGTACCTGCGAGACATCGCTCGCCGCGTCAAGGACAGACTTAAGGAGAAGGGACAGGATGTTCCGATGGTGAGAGACGCCTCCACCAAAGATGCTTTCGCATCGTCTGATTTAAGTGCAGACAAGTCACCAGGGGCAGCAGCCCCTCTGCTGCCCTGATCCCATTCGCTCATTTCTCCAACCTGTGATTTGAATAAATTGTGTTCCCTCACTGGCATGGTGTTGCTAAAATAACACCTAATCCCTAATGGGATCAATAGAAATGATGCCAAGTGCTGCGGCACACCATTACCTGTAGGTGGCAGCATTTGATCACAGCTGGGCTGTGTCTGCTGTTTGGCTGTTGCAGATTGTGTTTGCGAAGGATGCTCACTACGCCTTGGAAGAGCTTTCTGAGTCTCACTACGAAGTGGTGAGCTTGGACTGGACCATTGACCCTCGATCAGCAAGGTAACACACACACACACATATCCAGTTTGTGTGCCACTTCTTACTGCCCTGTGTCTATATTTGTTCTCCTCTCTCGTGATTTTGGCTGCCTCTGGGAGGCAGCTAAAAGTTAAAGCAGCGTTGGTGGGTCTGGTTAACCATTTACTGTTGACCCGCCCCTGATTATCTCTCTCTCTCTCTCTATCCCCCTCCTCTCAGTTTGTCACTGGGTGCAGGATTTAAGTCAACAAACATCTGCGTTTCCTCCTCCACTCATCAAATACTTAACCTGTTGGTTAAAGGATTAACAAGTGTGTGTGTGTGTGTGTGTGTGTGTGTGTGTGTGTGTGTGTGTGTGTGTGTGTGTGTGTTCAGGGATCGCACTGGAGGGAAGGTCAGCCTGCAGGGAAACATGGACCCTTGTGCTCTGTATGCACCCAAGGTAACATCTACTTCCTGTTTGCTCAGACGTCCATATTGACAGATGAACAGCTCTGGTTAATTAAGTAGAATTGTTATTTATTTATTACAAATTGAAAAATAGAGAATATCTTTCCCATTTACAGTTTGGGTCATTAATAAAGCCAAATTTGGTTTATTTTCACCCAACTTCTGAAACGATTAATTGTGACGAATACATTTTTGAAATAATAGTCAACTTATCGATTAATCATTAACTTGAAAGCTTAAAAGAAAAGGACATTTGCTGAAAAAACAACATATTCAGAGCAATAAATAAGCAAAAAAACAAAACATTTTTAATTAAAAGTTTAATAAAGTTTTAAATTCAGTGAAGGAATGATATTCTTGCACTTCAGGCAATAAAATGTTTTTCTCATTAAAATAAGAATTACATTTTGTTTATTTTTAATATTGTAGAAAAAAGTTTACGAGGATAAATGAAAAATCTGTAGAATGTGCCAGTTTTTAAAGAATCACATTAACCGATTAATCGTCAGACTAATCGATTACTGAAATGAAAGTTACCTGTAGCCATGTTTCACCCCCAGTTACTAAACAAACCATTTTTTCACATTTTATCTCATTACAACCACAAACGTTAGAGTGTTGTGTCTTTTTTTGTGTGTGTGGGAGACAAGGCGGTGGCAGTATGATGCTCAGGGGATGCTTTTTATCTATTAGCTGGGAAAATTCCTCCAGCAAAACAGTTAAAATTGCATTATTTTAGGACAAATTAGTTGGTAGTGTGGCTATAATGTGGGGGAGAAACGTAAACGGGGTGTAAATATGATGCGACTGTAAGTGTAAGTAATTCCTTCTCTGAGGTAATCCCCCTGAAGCTTAACTCGTCGCTCTGGTTCAGGAGCAGATTTCGGACACCGTGAGGAAGATGCTGGAGGGTTTCGGAACCAGGGGCTACATCGCCAACCTCGGCCACGGCCTGTACCCCGACATGGACCCGGAGAACATCGGCGCCTTCGTCGACGCCGTGCACCAGCACTCTAAGCTTCTGATCAAGCAGAAATGAGGACAGGAATAGAGGATGTACACTGCTGACGATGTAGAAAAGAATGCGTTGTTTAAATCATGTATGTGTTTTAGTTTTTGTTTTTTTTAATACAGATTATCACCCCGAAACGACTGTCTGTTTTTACATCGGGACAGAAAAACAAAAACACCACATTCCCATTTTGTGCAGCTTTTTAGGACGAACATGCTGCTTCTCTAAGATGAGCTGTTTTTCTCTTCAGCCGTGATGTTTATCTCAATCGGGAGTGGATTATGTGTTTTGGATTGAAAAGCAATCGCATGATTTTTGGCGACGTGCATGTAGAGCTCATCTTAAGTGCCGCGGCATCATATTAGCGATCACATTCGATCTGTTTGGCAGGTCCAAAGCACCTCGAGTGATGAGTATTAAGGTTTTAGTATTTATCCCAGCAACGTTGGTCGAGCGCTTACAAATACATTAATAAAAAATAAAAAAATAAAAAATATATATAAATACAATTAGACTCTATGACTTAACTCCTTGTCAGGCAACGTGGTTCTGTTTGAAAAGCTGATAAAGGGGAAAAAAAACAAACGGGGATTTAAAAACGGGTGATTTGCTTAAAAGGGTTTTTGCTTTTAAAGAGACATTTGACATTTTTGGGGGATGGAGGGGGTAAATGCAGCACAGCAGATGTCCACTGCCATCCAGCACCCTGCCTGAGCAAATTCCCTCGTTGAATATTAACGAGAGCACATTTAAAAACAAAAAAAAAAACAGTTTGATTAGTTTTATTAAGTGTTTGTTGCACTACAAGATGGTTCATGAGGATGGTTCATCTTCATAATCGACTCATTTCCCTGAAAATGGCATTTTATTATATCACTCCATGTTAATCTAATGTGAAAATCCCACATATGCCACCAATAAATGAGCTTATTAGTTTTGAATTGTCTTTAATCCACAGACGCAAAATAAAACGTCGAGGCTCAAATATAGTGTGAAATGGAGTTTAAGCCCTTGTTGATTTGTTTTATGTATTTTTCACAGCTGCTTCAGAACGTTAAACCAATTCATGTATCGGCGAAAGACAACGCAGGTCGACACGTAACAGCATTTATATCACTATGTCTACATTTTGTTCAAACATCTTTCATCTCTAATCACTTTTTCATAACCATGTTGGTGTAATTTTTTTCCTCCCTGAATAACCCCCTTTATGTAAATACCCCAAATTATTTTTCTTTTTTTTTATTTCCTTGTTTTGTCTGAGTAATATTCAAGTTGGCTTGACGTTGTGAAACACTTGAATATGAGAAAACAGGAAGTGTTGGAGGGAAAAACCTCAGCGCAGAATTGGTGGAGCTCATTTCCACTGGTCAGTTTCTCAACATGCACGCAACTTTCATTTGATCAACCAAACCGCTCACGTCCGATGAAAAGAAGTTGGTGTTTAAAAACGTCTCGGTGACCGCCGTGGCTTTACGTCCATTTCGGCCTGGATGATGGTGCTGCGACTTTTAAAACATGCAGGATGCCGGCCCCTGAGGGCCACAATGGGCTTCCTGACATTAGGGTTTAGAATGGCTGTAGAGATGGGTTCATGTTTGGAAACCAACCAACAAACTTAAATGGTCTCCATGCTTTCCGATGAACAGAGCGATCAAACATGAAGCTAAGAGACGTTTCACCAAACAACAATTTGAGCCTTGATTTATCATTTCGATTTTGTGCGTGTGAGAAAAGAGAACATTGCCCACCGTCTTGGAGCCAAACGAAGCATATTCATTCCATAGTTGGGGTGAAAAAGGAAAGCATAATAAAAAGGAGAGGAAGAGAGCTTGATTGATTATGTGCGATTCGATAGCGAGGCCTGGTTAAGAAAATGGGGCAGAGGCGCGACAGTCGCTGCGAACGAAACTGGGACAGGGAGTGAGACGGTGTCCTGCCGGAAGGTGTGGGAGTCTGTTTTTAAAACGGCGAGTCCTCTGAGAAACGCTTTAAAACGAAGGGGCCGAACAAATAAACAGCTCAAGAGGCACGTCACAGTTTCACGGTTTTTAAAGGAGAAAAAAAAAAAAGAAAAACAGTTCAGAGCTGCAGGAGTCCTTAAAATGCACTTCAATGATGCGTGACGTTCAGTTTCCATGGAGTACAAATGTGAGACAAGAGCTTCATTTTGTATTGGCCTTTTGCCACAAGGCCAGAGGAGGACCAGAAACAAACTGCAGCAAGAACAAACTGCAGCAAAAACTGCAGCAAAAAGGGGCTATTTTACCCAAGTTTCCATGGCAACTCTTGAGCCAATCTCTGCCAACCAGTTGCTTTGGGAGGCTTGCCAGGAAAAGCCCTTTCTGTCCTACCATCACAAACATAACCAGGCCAAGAAATCAGCTCCCCTTCCAACTATTTTGTGCAGCTTACAACAAAATTTAACTTGCCAGCAAAAGGTGGGTCAAACAAAACGTCAGAAACAGCAACATGAATTATGAAGATTGTAAACTAAACGACCTTTCCCAAAAAACAAGGGTCCAGTTGAGACCAAAGCACCAGACTGAAGACTTTTATCATTTAGTTTTTGGGTAAAAAGAGAAAAGTGATAAATAAAGTAAATGAAAGTGATTGACTTTCTGATTGAGCTATTAATTGATTTATTGTGACAGGCCAATTTATTTCCCCAAATAATACATTGTAAAGCCAGGATTAAGCAAGTTGGGTCCATAAATTTCATCGCTTAAGATGAAGATATTTAACCAGATCTCAAAATCCGCAGATTCTAAGTGAAGAACCTGAAATGCAACATTAAGCACTGCTTAATGTTGCATTTCAAGGTTTACATAACTAGAAAGGGCAGATCAAACTGGTGGAGAAATTGAACTTCCAGTCAAAAAAGAAACAAACAGGAGAGAAAATGATCAAAAGTCATCATTACGGTGTTTACTGCCGAGGTCGGGACTCCCCCGGACCCCCGTCCGGTGACGTAATGTTCCCCAGATTGGTCCAAAACCAAAAAACCAAACAAAACAAAAAATCATCAGCAGCACATAAACAAACGGATTTAAAGGAATCTGCTTATCTGCCCTTCTTAGCTGCGTCCCAGAGCCGCACTGAATTTTGGATTAACTGATCTCTTCTCTGAGCCTCTGTGATGATTACAGTAATGAAGCGCGCCGTTTCTGTCTGACAACACGTCGCTTTGTGTTTGCTCCGAATTCTTCAGCCATGCAATCCGGCAGGGATAAGAAAAAAAAAAGGTAAAAACAGGTATCGGGCCTGAAACATGGTCAGTTCGCTTTCAGCGTATCATCTGAGATTTTAACCAAATTGTGACCATTTCAAGTTATTTTGTGGATGCATAACCTTTTTCGACCGGCCTCAACTTGTCCAATCAAAGGTAACTCGGTTTCACCCAACATAGTTTAACTATTAACCAAAAAACTCAAAGGCTGTCTGTGTGACGGCCAGTGGCTCAGGCGCGGAGTCCGCTGATCCTTTTCCAACCTGAAGCATCAACACTGCTGGTAAAAATACACACACCTCAAAAAAGACGAATTCAGAGTGTGTTTCAGGCACCTACACAGCACCCCTGACGCGCGCTCACACCACTAATCGTTGGATGTAGAGTACATTGTTGGGTTCTCAGAGTTTTTATGATTTATTTACAGCCCTACTGACGGCTAAGTGTTGGGGAAATTATGATGTATTCAAATGATCTCTAACTTAACCATTGTGGTTTTTAACTGGGTTAGGGTTAGGGTTAAGGCGTCCTTATTTCTAAGGAACCAAAGTCATCAAGCAGCAAAACTTCGCAGCTCAATCGCTGAACCTGCAGACTGTTGCAGGGGGATCGTTGCTGCTTTAATCTCACAGCTGACAACAGCTGCATTTCCATTGGCCATGTAATCGCGCAAATTTGGAATTCCAAAAATAAATTTGCTTAATGGAAACCTGGTACATATGGAAAGAAATATGTTAGTTTCTTTGCTGGGATGAGGTGGTTTTTTTTGGCTGTATTGAAATGAGAACATTTCACAAAACTACAACAGAAACACTTGTTTTTGTTTTTTTTTTGCATCACACAATCATGTGATCAACAACCAGAAGTTGCTACTGACGGAAAAGACGAAGGAGACGACAGGAAGCGGTGGGAGGATGAAGGCGCCATGTTTTTTGCAATTTATCACGTGATTTTATTTGCGGTCCTGTTCGTTGCGAACGATGCAATTGCAAATGCGTTCTTTTTTCGACATGAGCAGGATGCTGCTAACGTTTCGCGCACATTCGGAACCGGAGCGCAGCTGCAGCGAGCGACTCTTTCACCATTTTACAGACGCAGAGTGTGAATCAAAATACACTTCACCTGGAGCAGAAGCACTTTTTGATCCTTTGTTCGTGTCGTTGCCGAGCACGCTTTAGCGTAAAATGCAAATGCAGACATCCAGCCCTCCACATATTATAAAGGCTGCGCCGCAGTGTTATTAATATTTACAAAACTACACAAAGCTCAAAGCGGCCAGAGAGGAGAATTTTAAAAAAAGCGTTTTAGTTTTTATTCATCCTTTTCCTTTGTGTGTCGTAGTACAATAAACAAGTACACACTCGCTCAAACACACCTACACAAACTGAACACACACAAAGCTTTTGTTGTGGGCACATAAATAGCGAAGACAAATGAACAAAAATCACCGCTGATTGGCGACAGGTAAAGACTGAAGAGGCTACGGCTGTGTGTCAGTGGGCCATCTGGGAATAAAGTGACAGTCTGCACACGCATGTGTGTGTGTGTGTGTGTGTGTGTGTGTGTGTGTGTGTGTGTGTGTGTGTGTGTGTGTGTGTGTGTGTGTGTGAGACAGGAAGAGAGACAGTGAGAAGGTTGTAACAATGAATCTGCTCTTTAGAAATGGAGATCAATTTCCACATGGTTGCCTTTAAAGGCTTTGGCAGGAGAATAATATATAAGTGTGTGTGTTTTCGGCGTGTGTTTCTGCTGGTGTTTGTGGCTCTGAACGTCTACATGTGCACAAATCGTCTCATTGTGTGCATTAGCGTCATTGTGTGTGGGCTTTTATGTGCTTAGTTTGTGCACAGTGAATGAACAGGTGGATGTGTGCCTCCGTATGTGTGTGTGTGCGTGTGTGTGTGTGTGTGTGTGTGTGTGTGTGCGTGTGTGTGTGTGTGTGTGTGGGTGTCTTTGAAGGAGGTCCAGGCTCCATCTCTCAGCAAATCAGCAGGCCTGAAAATCCAATCTGCCTAGAGAGACAGCAGGCTGTACATCATCTGTCATGGATGGACACTATCAGCGCTTTATCAGTGACCACCCCCTCCAAACACACACACGCGCACGCACACACAACATATCTTTCAATGAGCACATGCATGAACGAACGCACACGGCCCGCAGTGACAGAGACTGATAGGCATTATTAACTGTGGTGGTTGTGTGGAGGAGAGCAGTGGGGTTGGGCAGAAGCAGGGAGTGAAACTCTGGCTTCAGTCTGAGCTGGACCCTGAGACGCTTCGCACCGATCCAGATCCTGACAGCCGTGACCGGCCTTCTTTGCCGACGACGCCTTTCTATTCCGGGCAAGTCCGCCATGTTGCCGCAAACAACAACTCGTCACCTGCAAATGGTTAGCACCCTGAATAATAGCGCCGAGCCGTTCCATTCCTCTTCACTACTTGGATATTGTGCCCATGCAAGGCAGACGATCAGTCATGTGGAAAAACACAGAGCAGGCGTAACCCCTGACCCTTGGCAGGTGAAGCACTAGCATCAGGGCAGATTTTGGTGGAGTGTACTGGGAAGCAGCTGAGTGTTCCGGGTTGATGTTGACGTAAGAAGCAGTGGAAAGGGACGAGGATACCGACTTGAACTGAGCCCAACCGGGCTTCAAAGACGCCTCGACTCCTGAGTCAAGAGTCAAGGGTCATTGAGGTTTCTGTGGATTGGACAGACTGATGGAGAGGAGAGAAGCTGCTGTCGCTGAAATGTGTGAGGAAGATCATGATGTTCCCAATAGAAAGATGTCAGAACACACAGTGTGTCAAAGTTTGTGGCTTATGGGGAAGCAGAGCCGGAGAACAGTGGTACTGTCCAGGTATTTTACTCAGGTAAGAGTAGCTATGCTTCATAATAAAGTTACTCAAGTAAAACATACAGAGTAGTAAATATGCTACCCAAAGTACATCCTTTTCAAAAGGTTATTCAAGTAAATGTAACTGGGTATCGCTGAACTCTGATAAGGATTCCTTAACTTATTCACAGATTGTTCAGCATATTGTTGGCAACGTTGAGGTCCACTGTCTAATGTGTGGTGACTTTAAGATCCAAAAATGGCACAAAAAATTCAAATAAACAGAAGATGACCAGCCCACCACCGTACCCGGTCCTCCTAAAGAAAAGAGAAACGGCTGCATAATTTAGGAGCATCAGCAATAGACAGCTGCCTGCCGCACCATGTAGGTGTTCTGAGCGTTTTGATCCCAGCCGGCCTCGATCCGTTCAAAAAGAAAGACAGTGTATAATTCACCAGCGTCTGCAAACTATCGGCATGAAAGTCAAGCTAATAGTCAAGTGAATACTCTTTCGTTTGAAATGTATTGAGCGGGTTGCGGTTTGTTCTGATTGGTGGCCTTTTTTTTGCGGGTCACATGACATGTCTGGTGGACGGGATTGGCACAGTGCTGAGTCCGAGTCCAAAAGCACACAAAAGCATGAGGGATGTTTCAGCAAAGGACAAAAAGAGGTTGCTGAAAACTCCCTGGTTTCTCGGTTTATGTAGTTTGCAGGTGTGTGTGTGTGTGTGTGTGTGTGTGTGTGTGTGTGTGTGTGTGTGTGTGTGTGTGTGTGTGTGTGTTTGTGGTTTTGTCTGCACAAGCTGAAGAAGGAGAGAGGTGGAGGCAGATTGGGGGAGAAAAAGATTGAGCACATAGCAATCAGTCCTCCATCTATCTGTCTGGATAATTAATATAAATCTGCTCATTTATCATCAGCCAATCAATCTAGATTTACAATCCAACACACAAGCACTCTTTGCACTTTTTGATAGCCTGATTGTCTGGTTAGATGGCTCTGCAGAAATCTGTAATGAATGAGAATGAAGCGGGGAAGGAGGGCACGGAGGAAAAATATTCTGATTAGAGACAAATGAGCGAGAGATTGATGGAGCTATATAAGGCGGCACAGGCTTTCATTTATCACTAATTCTGGGCTGGTTGGATGGGCAAAAAATGCAGAGGAGACCAACTCGGTCTAGAAGAGAAACACATTTCTATCAGAAAGAGTAACACTGGACTGATGGACAAAAACAGCCTGGACTTATCGGCTTGTAATGGCCGTGTAACTCGCCATAAACTAAGTACAGACGCTGCAAAAACAATAAAATAAATAAAAAATGGCTGTGGGACATTCTAGTTGTCACCGTTAGTTAGTAGCACCACCTTGTGTGGACTAAAGGTTTAAATGGAGCAGAAAGTTCCAGTCTGAATGACTCCGAAACCAAAATTAAGGGTTTGGAGTGGCCTAGTCCAAGGGTCTGAAATCTGGGGCTCCTTTGAAATCAAGTAAGATTGGCTTTTAATTATGAAAGGTAACAAGATGGAGTGCTTTTAGCATATTTAATATAGCATGAAATATCTACAGCTGAGGGGCACCAAAGGCTTTTATTTGTGCAGAGTTCAGATAGCCTCATGCTACGGCGCAGTTCATTTCCTTTTATAAAAACTGTAAACAGAAATACAATTTAGCTCAATTTCATTAGCATTCAAAATAAAACGGTTCATTAAGATTTATAATTTTTTTTTTGCCACTATGAAAATGTTTATTTCATTAGGGGCAGCGTTATGTAAAATGAAAAAAAAATTTTTTTCTCTCTTTTTTAAGTTTTATATCATGTTATGTTATTCCATCATCAAACAATACCTGAGGCATTGCCTTGATTCGTTCATGCGTGTTTGAGAAATCCTTGAATCTCCCGTTAAATTGAAGATTTTTCCTAAAGCCTTCCTGTCTTATTGATAAGGCGGCTTATAGGACGTTTAATAACACATGCACACATTCAGTCAGTTTGGGTGATCAGAACATCAACTACATCCACATGTAACTTTGCTGCATCTTAAATAATGCGACGATAGAACAATGATGGTTGCACTGAATGTTGTGGCCGACCTCCAAACATAGCAGCTAAACCAAATTTTATTTTTCAAAATGATTGCGAATAAATTCAGAATCTAGAATTGGGGTTTGACTTTGTGCTCAATTTCTTAACAAAATCCCAACCACTATCAATGTGTTTCACACTTTATTCATAGAAAAGCACTGAGATCTCAACACAAATCAATATAAAATGGTAGTAGCGTTACATAAATAGTAATAAAATCTTGCTTTATAGACAGTAGCTCAAGAAGTCGCACAAAAAAAAAAGGTACAAAAAAAAAGTGATGATAAGCTATGATACTTCTGTGGCAACAAATACTGGAAAATACCTTTTCAAAAAAAAAAAAATCAGTAGCACAAAGAGGCAACAAACACTTTCAATTATCCCTTAAGTTAAAAATGGATCTGAAACGAAAACATAACGGGGAGGTGAACTATGCCTCTACTAGCAAACAGTAATCTCCTACAAACAAAAGAAAAGATGAGGGGAGGCGGGTAAAACTTAAACAGAACCCTCAACAGTTCGTTCCGGGTCACGCGTTTGGCGAAGCGCCGTCACCTGTGGACCTTTTTTGAAAATCTGTCACGATGTCGAAGCCTTGCATCTTTTGTTTTTGCATAAGCTGGCCGTGAGTGTGTGTGAGTGTGTGAGCGTGAGTGTGTGTGCTGCAGGACGACGGAGGCAGCTTCCCATCCTCCATCGACGGAAGAGACGTCCAACCGCGTGGGGACAAGAACGAGTAAACAGTGGTAACGTAAAAGAAAAAAAAAAGTGAACTCTGAGAAGAAAATGTATTTCTTCTCTGTTTGTGATGATTTTCTGAATGAAACAGGCCATCGGCTAACTGTTGCCAACACAACCGTTTGTGTTACTCACTGCAGAGTAACCACGCAAGAAGACACCGAAGGCCTCGGTCTTGGTAATAAAGGACAGAAATAAAGTAAAAAGAAACAAAGACGCACAAAATAAAAACAACTTTGTACATTGATCGGTCAGAAAGGCATTTTCTACCATCGCTTTTTTTTCCCCCTCCTTCGGCTCAAGCTCAAGAAGTTGCAGCAGATGCAACGTCGACCCAACGCGAGCACTCTTCCTCTTCCCTCCCTCCTCCTTCTTCTTTCTGATAGTGGTTCGGCCCACCAGGTCTCGCCCTCCGCGCTTCCTCAGCGACACTCGCGGACGAGACCCTCAAAGTGGTTCTGCATAGTCAGGTTTAGTACAAATCGGTTTACAAATGTATGCCTCCCTCACTCGTTCCCAACAACAACAACAAAAAAAAACTTGCTTTCTTCTTGGAAAACAGATTTTTTTTCTTTTTTTGTCATTGCAAGCTGAATAAAAATGAAATTTTTTTTAGCAAAAAAAAAAAAAGTACACAGGAGCACCTGAGAAATGCCTTGAAATCTTTGCTCTTACAAAAGAAACCGCGTCAAATTCCCCCTCCCCCCACGCAGAACAGTTCAAGTACACCCCGCCGAAAATAAACAGAAAAAAAATAACCCACATAACATACTCATTATAAATAATTAGAACTTTACAATTTTCTCAATTGACACTTTATTATTTACAATATCTTAAATGCTTAATGCTACTACTTTTTGTTTGTTTCTTTAAGTGATGTCCCTGAGAACTGAGTTTAGCCTTTTCTTTCTCTCCCTCCCTCCCCCGTTCGTCTATCTGCATTTCTCCTGATCTGAAACAGGCGCAGTTATCACGACCGACTTACCCGGGTGCAGTTCGTAAAAGTTTGCTCTCGTGGAATGTCGAAGCAGATAGGGTAAAAAAAAAAAAAGAAAAAAGAAAAAGAATGTCCCTCTGTTCCAGAAACCTTCAACTCGGGTCGCCTCTTTTATTTAAATACAGTCTGGTTCTCATTCTGTGTGTCCGCCATTTCAAACTCAGTGATTAGAAAACATTTAAAATAATAATAATAATAATAAAAGAAAGAAAGTCACAAAACAATCAATAAATAAATGCTGAAGCAGGCAGGAACGTACTGAAGAGGTAACTGTGTGAAGTGCTTGTACATATAGTCTGATCAGTTAAAGACCGAAGCTCTTGTTTGGACCGCCGTTGGAAACGACGTTTTGCCACCGGGCGAGACGGCGGACCGTGCAGAAGGAAGGCAGCCTCCCGTGCCGAGCCACGCAGGTCTCCGGTGCTGACAACGAACGCGTCAAGTTGCGACAAAATGCAGCAACTTTGGTGCGGCTCACTGTGCATCTCTGAGACCTTTGGCGGAAAAGGCCACTCGTCTTCACAGTAAAGAATGATACAAACCAGTAGTATTCACAGGAAGGGTCACAGGTTTTTCCATCACAAGAACAACAACAAAAAAAAATGAACAAATTTTATGTTTTTATTTTTATTTTTAGCCCTAATAATTTTACGCAGCCATCTTTCCGTGCTTTATTTTAAACAAACACGGACGTGAAATGTGTCAAAACATGAGGTCGGGGATTTTTTTTTGTTTGCGTATATATATGCTGTAATGGCCGTCTACCAAAAGGCAGATTTAATTCATGCCTTTTTTTTCTTTTTGGTCAATTTTCAAAAATGAAGTTCTAACACTGCAGGGTCGTATAATGGACAGTAGCTAATGTCCACGTAGCAAAAATATGCTAATTTCTTTTCTTTAAAAAAATGATCTTGGAGGAATCTTAACACTTTCAGATGTTCACTTTTTTGTACTTAAAAAAATCTTTTGAAAAACCAAAAGTAAAATAAATTTTAAAAAACTCAATTTTGTCAAGTAGCAAATGATTCATTTTGGCGGGAAAACGGGGAGCAATAGACACTTTTTAAGTGCACAATAAATTTAAGGGTTATATATATTTACATTACTGTAATTACACAATAACTGATTAAAACAATTTTGTTAATCTTGTCATCTGGCAAACAATTATTTCAAGTGGTTAATGTAGGAGGGCTAACGAGAGGAAAAGGATTTAGCTAAATGCTACTATTAGCGATAAAAAGATGCTAACAGTAATAAGATATCAGACTGCAAGTCTGACAACAAACCCAGGTGATGTAAATTTCCTCACTCGTCTGTGTGACTAATACCTAAGCATGGCGACAGCGACAATACAACGATCCCTCAGAGGGTGGCTCTAAACACTGTAAAAAAACAAAAAAACAAACAAAACCAACCAGTCAAGAACAGAAAATTTAGTTGACTTCTTAAACAATAGAGTGTTTGAAGATTTTGCTGTTTTCAGCCACATTAATGAAGCTACAGTGAAAACTGTATCACTACTTAAGCAGCTCATCGTGGAAGCAAATTTTCTAAATTCGCCCAGCGGCTGCGGGTAAACAACACAAGTGGGCAAAATTCTCAGTTTCAGCCAATGTTCTTGTGATGGAAAAGGGATTCGGGTGACAAAACTGATTCACGACCAAGTTCCAGGTCCAAAATCGTCAAACGTTTCGCAACAAAACACAAGGATCGCCAGCTTAATGACGCCAAAGTGATGAAACTAAAAGATATACCTGAATTAAACCGCTGACTGAACGTCGATGTTAGCAGTGACGCTTTACGCTTTTCAAAGCTTTGGCCACAAGCAGCAGAGCTAGCAGTCAAGTGGCATCCGGGGACACGAGGGACGCGTTCACCTCATCAAACATGGCATCTTATGTCGCTAACAGGACGACGCGAAGCATACAGTGTATACAAGAATATACCGATGTACACGTGAAGGCTAAACTGGGAACGAAAGCAGCCGGAACGTCACCCTCAAGACATGCACTCTGTAAAGCGTCACCCTCACCATGCAGCAGGTGAAGGCATTTACATGTTCGACTGGTGAGAACAGGTAGCCGTGTTAGCCGCCCTCTCCGCTCTAAGAAGCCCTGAATGAAACGAGAGGCGATTCCTAACAGAGGAGTTAAAGCCGACAGTCGAGGTATGACCTTAACACTGTACGTTTTCAACCGCTGTGTGTTCTTTATGACGTTCCCTTCACTTTGAGAAGCCAAATCTTCTGAACCTTTACAAAGGCTACACACACCCAATCCAAAATGGCCGCAAGCCACCAGGAAATTAACATTTCTTTTGCTCTTATAATTAACATTCTTTTAAAGTTCTGATCATGTAAAAGAAAATATATTAATTGGTTGAGTTTGATTCCTCGTTACTTCTGTCCTGTCTTTTGAAGCAACGGTTAACGTAGAGCGAATCCAGCGAACACTTTTTGGTTCACATTCAAGAAACGAGACACAACGAAAACGTAAGACTTGGTCAAGAGATGGCTCAACATACAGAAGTAAAAATCCAAAAACAAAACAATTATTAAAAAAAAAACTTAAATAAACCAATAAGTTCAACTACTTCCCAAAAAGAAGGTCTCTGAGGCAGGGTTAAGGTCAGCCGAAGCGCTCCCTGACCAACATCATCAGTTTCTTTTTGCCCTTGTAGATCTGTTTCAGGTTGTCTATAAACTGGGCGAACTGAATATGGCCGTCCTGTGCCAAAAGGAAAGTTTCCCGTGCTTTGCTGAGGAACTCTATGAACTCCCCGTAGTGCCGCGGACTGATGTGCGTCAGTCGAGAGTGCGTGGTGTTGATGTACGCCGAGATGGTGGCGTCCAGAAGCTGTCGTAGCGGCGCCTTGTCCGTTGACATGAGCTTCCCAGAGTTCCTTCGCCCGGGGATGCCAGCCAGTCCCGGCGCCGTCATGGTGCACCGCCGCAAGATGTCGGACAGCACCGTGGCACAGTGCACGCTCTTCACCACCAGCGGGATGATGGCCGCCAGTTCGTTTTTCCCCAAGGAGTGGCTGAGCGCGCAGGCCCAGAGCACGTCGTTAATGGCCGGGTGCGTGTCCTGGTTGTAGGCCAGGTTGAGGTGAGTCATGGCGAGAGACGCCAGCTTGAACGACCGGAGCGGATACCCTCGGTGCTCCATGTAGCGCGCGATGGTGAACAGCTGCGAGTACGTCATGCCCGTGGAGGCGGCGTCGATCACAATCTGGTAGGCCGTCTCGAAGGCGATGTGGTCCTTCTCGCAGAGCGTCAGAGCCGACAGGGCGCAGTTCTGAGGGTCTTTCATGGCGCACTGCAGCGCCAGCGTCCTCGCGCAGCTGGCCAGCTCCTCCCGCTGCGGGTAGTCCAGGCTGAGGCGCAGAATGGTGTTGTGGGACATGACGGTGGCCGCCACGATGCTGGTGGCCTCTGTTGGCGTGAACAGAGTGTACCAGCTCTGCAAGATGCTCACCAATGCCCGCAGACCTGACGGGAGAGACAGATGGGATTGGACACTCAGTGCTTTGCCAGTTCCTCAAAGATGGCAAGGGAAGGAAAACAAACACCAGGACTTAGTCATCATCTAGTGTGAACTTTTATGCAGAATCCTTGCCACGAATAATTTTACGACCAGGATTACTCACAGCCTTTTGCCACCTGGTATTTATTTGCTGAAATTTTTACATTTCACACTTAAGACACACAAAAAGCAATCCATATTCCTTCAGGGTCTCCCCCAGCATATTATCAGCCTGCCAGGTTTTACTTGCGCCCCCACCAGGCTGAGCATTTTTGTCTTATTTTAATTCTTTTTTGTCTCGTTTGTATCATTAACTCAAAACACACTGGATGACAGCCCCTCCATCAGGCTTAGCAGGTTTTCTTGGGAAAACTTGATCAACTTTCATCCATTTTTGTAATATGCACAGTAAAGTGTCTAGAATGGACAGGCTTTAAATATCTTGCAAAGCTTCTTGAGCATAAGAATTCAAGTTTAACACAGTTTGCCCTAAACCAGGGGTGTCAAACTCCAGTCCTCGAGGGCCACTGTCCTGCAGTTTTTTGATGTGCCACAGGTTCAAAACACAGGAATGAAATGGCTTAATTACCTCCTCCTTGTGTAGATCAGTTCTCCAGAGCCTTGCTAATCACCTAATTAATCTATTCAGGTGTGGTGCAGCAGAGGCACCACACCTGGACACTGGCCCTCCAGGACAGGATGTTGACACCCCTGCCCTAAACGCTGATCTGGTTACTGGGCAGGTTACTGGTTTCTCAGAGAGTCACCACTGCTAAAGCTGCCGGCTTTGTTTCACCCAATGAGTTTGATCGCGTCAACTCGTAACCATACTCTGCTCTTTTTGAGTCGTGTTTCTTTATCCTCGCTTCCCTCTAATCTTTTCATAGCACTTCTGGCAGTTTCTTTAAAATCTCTGCATAAATTTTGTCAACCAGCAGAGTTACAGCTCTCTCTCTCTCTCTCTCCTGCACTATCATCAAAATATTAAATACCTTATGGAAAACTGATTCTTAGCCCTCCATGTGGCAAACCAAGCATATGTTTGATTATTGCTTTTTTTTTTTTTTCCCCAGTAAAGTCAAAGTCAGCCTTAAAGCTGAAAATCGAGACAGACCGTAGGGACGGTAATTAGAGATGGAATCCTGTTTTGCTTGCTGCGTCTCAATGGGGTGTCCAAAAAAAAAAAAAAAAAAGGTGAAACATACCGACTTCAGTGGCGCATGTTACCAGCCAGCGGACCATCTCTCTCCTTCTCCAGTTCAAAGTGGACAGTGTCATTCTCATCACCTGCAGAAACGCACAAAGCGAGTAAGAACAAAGTGGCTGGAAAATATAAAATAACTATTTTTAAAATCCACATCTTAAACTTTAAATAGTGAAAAGCTTTATATCTAAGGTGCAAATTACAACACAATGAACAAGATGCAATGCGGCAAGTAAATAAATGAGTGTTAAACGTTTTAGTGAAAGAAATGCAAAGTGCTTTTCTGTTGACATTTTCAGCCGAAAGCATGATGGTAACGGTGCAGCTCGTAAATGTCTAGCGTAGGTTGATGTTGTTTTCCAAAATATCTTTTCATTTCTTTATGCATTGTTTTGTCTGCCTTTGACTTAAAAGACAGTTGCTGAAAAGACTAACTTTGCGAGAGGAATTTTATCAAAATATATATTTTTTATTATTTAAAAGTCCTTTGGATTTTTATGTTTTACTGTTTTCAATAGGTGAAGATATTTGAGCTTTTGAGTCGATCTGTGATTTTTAATATGTATGATTTACAGGGAGCGGAGTGACTGAGACGTCAGCAGATCTGTGCAAAAAAACCCCAATCAGAACCAGATAATAACCATGCAATAATCCAAATTTGGATGTATGGGATAAAAAATGACAAAAAGACAAATCTTGTAAAAAAAAAAAAAAAAAAACATGAAATTTTGTATTTTTATTTATCTTGTGGCAAAAACAGCTTCTTTTAAATCCTTATCAGGCATCTAAGGGGTTAGAAATTCAAGAAATTGGTCAATATTTCCTACATACGGTAAGGAAACATAAATTAAATATAAAAACATTTTGATTTGTGACATTACAGCACAAAAATATTGCTTCAATAATCAGTATAGTCGGTCGCTGTTATTCATATTTACAGTTTATTATTAAACATGCACTATAATTTTGTTCGTAGCAGCTTACGTGAGAAAAATAGCTCAACACCTCCTAGCTCAATATTTACTTTTTACTGCATTTTACTTCATTAAGATTATTTTTAATTTTATTTCTCCATTGATTAATGTTTCAGCTGCAGAGGACATTTTTAATACGACAGGATTATAGCTGATCTGTTGCGTTTTTCTGTGGAAAGATTCCTCCATGAAGTGGGTTCTTCTAGTCAACAGCGTTAACTCTGCGGGATGCCAAATTTGTAGGGTCGAGTTTTGAAAGTCTGTTAAAGGGAAACTCCCGCTGCGGTAGAAGTTTCTGTGGTTAAAACTGTGATGATTGCAGCCTCCCTGTCTCTTTCCCTCTCTCTCTCTTACATCCACGCTCTGTACCTGCAGCCCCAACTCCAACGCCACGTTGAGCAGGGTGATATCCGGCGGACTGTCTGCGGGCGTGGCGATCTTGAAGGCGTCCTGGGCCAGTTTGAAGATGAGGGAAGAAGAGTGGATGTTTTTCTGAATGGCTTCCAGCACCGTCCGCAACCTCAACATGTCCCCTTGTGGTCATGTGGACAAAAAGAAGTAGAAGAAGAGGAGGAGATATTAACAACCGGTTCGCTTTAGTAAAACCTTTTCCTGCTGGCAAAGGAGAAAACCGAGATTCAGACTTCAAATATTTCTGTGACCAAAGAAAACTTCCTCGTTTGAAGGATTCCAACATGTCCGCCCAAAGTAGGAACTTGATATTGCTGCTGCAGCCACAATTACAGAGAAGATAGGGGGGGAGCAGAATGTATGCTTGTTAGACATTGTAATATTAGTATCAAGTATTGAGTATGGCTAAAAACGTTCGCCATGTGTGGATTATGTAAAGGAATAAAAGGTTTGTAATCGTGAGACTTTCCAGACACTAGAAAGCAAATATGGTTTGGAAAACTTTGGCTTTCTCAGATTTTTTTAAAATCCCTTCAGTTGTTATATAAATAGTTCTTAAGTGCTTTAGGGTAATTTCCAGAACCTAAAAACAAAGGTCAGCACTGCAAACATCACACATAAATGAAAGACCAAAACTGCATGGAGCATTTGAGAGAATCTGTGGACAAAATGTTGTACTTTAAAATGGAGAACGTCAAGTCGGACCCCCTGATTCAGGCTGGGACAGACAGGAAAGTCGGACATTTTCGTATTTGTCCTTCTCGCCCCAGAGCTTCGACTTCGAGAAGAAACTGGGATATTAGTTGTGATAAATTTACAATTTAATGGGGGAGAGCTCAATTAGCGGCTCGTCCCACTCGTCAAACGTGATTAATAAAATGAAACACCTGCTCGGAAGATTAATCACCGCAGCCAGAGAATCTGTCGCAAGAAAAAACGGCTCAGGACAGAAGCGCCGGCTCCAGTGCTTCCAGAAGATCGGCATGAAAATGATTCCGCTGCGTCATCATAAATATACATGAAAAGAACAAAAGCACAGTCTTCTGCGACTACATTTTTTTTTTCATCATTATATTTTTTACCTTTAGCAGCAGTTAGCATGGTGGAGGCTAGCTCACACTGCTGCGACTCCAGGTGGCCGAGAGTGAACCAGCGCGGGTATCTGCTGGGAACGATGGAGATGCCGTGGTGAGGGTGGCCCACGTCCCCGGAGCCTGCCGACGACTCCAGGACAGGAAGCCTGGGGGGCGAGCAGAGAGCGGGGTTTCAATGTGGAACACGCTTCATGGAGACGAACATTAAAACACGGAGATTTGCCGTGTTATTGGTTCAAAAAACGAAATCTGAAAGCGCAGATGTTTTCCCAGTCCTACGACTAAAAGTCTGCTCATTTATATGCCAGAGATTGTCAGAGAGAATCTTCCTGCGGCATTTCCCCTCCTCCACCTGTTTCTGCCAGATACAATTCGAGTGCTTTTTCAAGATTTTCCGGCGTCACACTTTGGAAATTGAAAAAAATGAACAAACAAACAAAAAACAATACAAATGAATGAAAGAAGATCGCTTCAATTCAGAATTATTTTGAGATCATTTCTTAAAAATGTCTCCTCATTGTTTTCTACGTAGCAGGGACGGTGAAATTTTGCATTTACACGTCAACAAAATTCCAATTTATAAAAAAGATGTTCCCCCAATTTTAAAAACTTTAATTAATCTATGAAATATAAAGATAATTTTTTTTTACTTCCGTTACACAGATCAAAACTATGAGGTATGAATATCAGGCACTTTCAAGGACTTCGCAGAGAAATCGAGCACTTTCCAAATCTCAAAAACGGCAATTTGAAGTTCAAGCATTTTCAAGGATTTCAAGAAATGCTTTTGAAAATCTTGCTTTATTAATATTTCAACATTGTATTTGTTTTTTCTATTTTAACAGCAGTGTGGGAAATAATTATTTCTATAACAGCACATTTACTGACTTTTGCTTAAAATGTGGGTAAATACATTCTCAATATCCCTGGAGAATCATTAAGCACACACATTTAAACATAGGAGTTGCATCTTCTTTTTAATGTTTTTTAAAAATTTTTATGTGGCATCGAAAGAATATCTCACCTCATGGCACGGAGAGCCACCTTGTAAGCCAGGTCTGCGTCGTGCGGCAGCAGAGCCGAGAAGAGGTACTTGGCGAAGGTGTGCATGGGAACGCTTTCTCTGTGGATGACTTCTCCGAGGCCGCTGAACGGACCGGCTGAAACCGAGAGGGACACAGGAGGGTCACGTTTCGTGGAAGGAGTGTGCGACGCGCCGACCGGCGGCGGGTAGCGTACCCTCCAGCAGCTGCACGGCCTGCTTCCGCAGCGTCTGGACCAGCAGGTCGTCCAGCTCCAGCTCCTGCAGCTTGGAGACGATCTGCTCTTCGTTACGACACACCTGGACCACGGCGAGAAGACACGATCAAAATGTTGCCTGGTGAAGCAGGAGATCAACCCATTCACACGCATCGGGGAACTTTGAGACAGACGGGGTTCGATTCCAGCCAAAGATCGACACAGAGGTCCTTTCGTGCGTTTGATTGGGTTTTAAGCGCAGGTCTCGTCTAAACCGTTAATATTGTCGCTAATTCCGATGACATTCAGAAAGGTCTGCGGCGGCAGACGTTGAACACTCGAAAGAAGATTACCATTTGCACAAAGAAACGCTGCCCGGATTTCTTCCAGTGCGCCGAGAACTTAAGTGCTGCGACTTCCTGCTTGTTTTTCAAGAAAAGAAAAATGCCTTGACCTTTTCTATGCTTTTTTATTTTAGCCTGACATTTACTTCCAGCTGATGTTAAATTACAGTGATTTGCTATCAGAGAAACACTGTCCTCAACAGGATGTTTTTGTTTTTTTTTAAATATGCAGAGAATATATTTTTAATGAAGCACAAACAATACCAACCGGGATATGAAACAGCCAAAATGTGCAAAAATAATTCTATTGCCGTTGATGCATTTCACATTTCGTCATGCGACTCGCAGGCCTGTCACGATGCCAAATTTTGCTGGACGATAAATTGTCCGGGTAATTATTGCGATAAACAATAAATTTGTAGCTTGGAGGTCATTTTTTAGTAAGACACATAAATAACGGCATAATATTGCAAGCTTGCCCTCTCAAAAACGAATAAACTTTCATTTTGTAAAAACACTTAATACTGGAAGATATTTTAAAAATACAAAATAAAGAATGGTAATCAAAAAGAATAAATAAATAAATAAGAAAAGCAAAACCATGAATAAAATGGATTATGAAGCCTCTGCAAACAAATTAAAAAATATGAATCATCAGAATGGAAATTATCAAGCTCATTTTCATTTATTGTGCGATGAACTGATTGATTAACTGCTTATTGATTCAGGCTTAGTAATTCCTGCAAACGTCTGCGTAGTTAAGTAGCATTCGATGCGACATACTAACACAGTAAAAATATCAAAATGGAGTTTTTCAAATGTGAATAAAAAAAAACTGACATTGGAAATCCCCCAACTCTCACGGTAGAACAAGACTTTCCAGGTGTTCAATACACTGACTTTTGTGGGTGTAATTGACAAAAACCGTGGTAAAGCTCAAAAGGTTTTGAACACTTTTAAGGAGCGCGCTGTGCATTTATTGCTGACAGACGCAAAATAGTCACCTTGTCCTGGGCATACAATCCCTCTGGCATGATCCTCTGCTGGCCCATGCCCATCAGGGCCACTTCCAAGGCCAGAGTCAGGTAGGACTCCCCCGCAACCGGACACCCCCACACCGGCACATGGTGGTAGACCGGAGGTCTGGGATCGCCTTCTTGGAGAGAACAGGGACAAGTCCGAACATCCACATTAGTAAAATCAGAGGGACGCCAAGTTAAAGCGCTAAAAAGCGCATGACGCTTTTGTTCTACTCAAGCTTAGTGTGTTAATTTCATTTTATATATATATATATATAGTTCAGCTCTCTAAAACATAAAAAGGCAACGTGCCTTACCAGTTATTTGTATCAATTAAATATCACAGTAATGATACAAAGGAAACTGAGACAGAAGGAGTCACACAAAGCCCACCTGAAGTCAAACCCGAGCGCTTGTAGTATATCAGCCACACATTACGGATTCATTCTTTTGATCAAAATATGAGTATATATTTAAATTAAATGGGGAATAAAACATTGTAACTTCGTTTGAGCTCGTTTGCTGAAAAGGCTGCTTACCCAGCACTGCTGCCTTACAAAGTATAAGTGAGAACAGATGCCCTGGGAGCCTCAGCGGTTGATTTGTTTTCTCATGTTCCCCCCCTGGCCCCCTCGGCTCTGCCCCATCATTCAGCTTAAATCCCCTCTGAGCAACAGATCCCCCTAAATCCTGTTTATTCCAGGGATATGTGGGTAGGGAGCCTGTGCTGGGAGTGCACGCATGTGTTGAGTTAGAGTGGAGAAAAAATGGAACCAGATTTCACAGACTTTCCCCCTCTGGTACGGTCAATTTGTTTCTTCCTAATCAGCGGCTCGATAAGTTGATTTGATAAAGCCGAGGGGAGGAGACGGGCGGGGTGGGGGGCGGCTTTTGATTGGACGACACAGAGGCCGAGTCCAGCCGGCGTGTAAACAGATGTTTCCAGCTGTTCTCCGTGGGTTATGAAAATACGACCACGGAGCTGAAAGTGAAACTGATGTGCTTCGTATTCCATACGCAGCACGTTACCAGTGGCCAGCCGGTATTGTTAGCCAAAGCTTTTTGTCGATGAAATAAAAAACAAAATGCGACGGCCGCTGGTGCAAAGAGGAGAATTTTGGAAATTCAAGTGGGGATGGGTTCCACACATACCACAGTCAAACTACAGGGGTGTGTTCAGTTCAGGCCACTCAGTTTCTATCACGTTCTGACTGCATGCAACCTTATAGCAAACTGTCGTTCAGCGCGTTTAGGAAACTCTTCACGGAACTAGAGTTGTTTTCTGGTGTCATTATTGATGCCTTTTTGTATTTTCATAGCCTGTAGTGGAGCAACAAAAAACAACAGATTACCCAGATAAAAACGTGCTCCATAAAACTACCATGGAAAGGTAGAAAGGTTCTTATTTTGATTTTACCCAAAGCCTGTGCCGATTTTCACATTGAGGGTTTACATGTTACATTTCGGTTATATGGGTTTAAATCTCTACTGTCTTCAACTTGATGGGTTTCAAATTCCATGGAGACAAAAGTAGCAAAACTCTCTAAAAAATAATATTAATTTGGAGAGACTTGTTCTATTTTTTATACATTAACAATCTAAAATAATTCAATTTAATTTTTACACTTCTCTTTAAGCAGGCATGGAGTCAAGGTGGCTTTTTCAAAGAAAGACGCCAGATGTTTAAGAGTTTGATGAATATGTTCAGGACACTATTTTTATTGTCCACTGCAAAATGGATGAAATGATGGTTAATTACTTAACTAAAACGACACACTGAGCCCAAGAACGAGAAAAAACACAAAAAAAAAAGCTCGAGAAATGTCCGGAGTCCTAAAAGTATTCGCAATCAGTACTGAAGAAGAATAACTCTTAGAATCAATGGGTTTAATTTATCTTCACTGCAACAGCAGCAGAAACACACAACAGATAGTCCTGGAGAAAATTAGGATTCACTAATCCTAACTTTGTCCGCGGAAACAAAGTTTCAGCGGAAACAAAGTTTCAGGACAGCATTAAAGCCGATGTTTGAACCAACGGCTGAGGAGAGACGCATTCTGGTGGTGCTTTCTTGAACTGGAGGCTCAAGATGCGATATATACAGTACTTTAGCTGAAGTCAATGTTAGCCAGGATTATTTAGCTGTATGGTTCAAAACGCAATACCTAGGAATGTAAATCCTTGGAATATGTTGCAAGTTTTGAAGCATTAGCATTAATTTCCCCATGCTAATAAAAGCTAGCTTTTAGCCAAAACGCTCACTCTTTCTGTCAAGGCAAAATGAGGAAAACCAAACCGTATGGTTTCTTTAATACCTCCAGTGTCCATAGAGTTATCATCATCCATGCGGCACGTTTCTGTGAGGGTGATGAATAGACAACCGATTGGGTCTAATGGATGACCCACCCAGCCTTCCAGGTTGGTGGTGGAGGTAACATTTCTCTGGAGAAGCTCTAAAAGCAGAGACAGAAAAAAAAACAAGTAACAAAAACAGTCAATATTAAAAAGTACCTTTAACAAAGCTCCACGATCTAGAAAATCAACTGCGCTCACTACAGCGTTTCTAATGTTCAAACCTTTCTTTTGGTGCTTGTAGATGTCCATCTGCCTCTGCTGCTGGAGGCGAAGCGTGTTGATGATGGCAACGGCCAACCGCAGCGCTTCCCTCGTGTAGCCGTGCGACCGCAGGGCGTCGACGCGGGCGCACGCCGTCGGGACGTGGTCTGCGCGATGCGAGAGAAACGAGGTGAGGTCAGGACAGCTTCGCGGAGTCAGGCGGCGCATACACATACACACGGTGCAGTCTCAGCAGAAAGCCGGTGTGTGTCTGATAGGTGGCTTAAGTTGCAGAATCTGACAGATCTGAGCTGGAAAAGCTGCTTACTGCAGATACTGGCACGAATATCAGCAGAATTACTGTGCGCGCGAGGGAGTGCGAGTGTTCTGGGTCAGCTTTCGGCGAAAGTAAAGAACGTGGGTGAAACGATCTCAGAGGTGCTGTCATTCGGGGAAAATACGTTTTCATTTAGCTCCCTAAATGGCAAATTGAAACTAACATTCTCAGCATAAAGAGGAAATGGACGCATCATAACTCCACACAAACCCCCCAAAACGGAAAAATCACAGTTTCAATGGGAATATGGATTGAAATAGCACCTAGCCAGAGCGGCAGCCCTTGTGGGTTGAACAGCAAGCTCTCCCCTTCCCTCTGGTACGACGGAGACATGTAGTAGTCGCTGCTGATGATCCTCTGCAGGTGGCTGTCCTGCCAGTGGAGGTCACACGCCTCAACGGCGCGGCTGAACACCGTCCGCCTCGGTCTGGACAGAGAGTCTGACACAAACACCGACAGTGATGAGCAACTGTGACTGAGGAGAGCGGCGCTTTGAGGCGGCGGAGGCGTGCGCGTCCGTGCAGACCTTGAGCGAGGTTGCTCTGCGGCAGGGCATTGGTGATGTTCGGAAGCTCGCTGCCGTAGTTTCCGTCCTCCAGCGGGCAGACGTCCATGTCTCCCCACTTCTTCAGCTGCTTCAGCCAGCCGCTCTTTTCCTCGCTTTTGCAGTGCGGATTCAGCACCACGCACACCCACAGCGCACCTGGGGGAGCAGGAGAGGAGGAAGGGGTCAGGTGTTTGGACCCAAAGGAAATGCAAGCTCTGGACTGCATTTTCAATCACAATAACATTTTTAAGTTTGTGGTTATGACATCTCAGGAGACAGGAATAGTTTCGTAGCAAACAGAGACGAAGAAAACTGGACACAGTGTTTTAAATAATATGAACAAAACTCTCTTTCTGTCAAATTTGATTTGTGGTTACTTTTAAGACATTATGATCAGAACAAAAAAACAGATGATCAGTATTTGTTTTACACACACACACTCCCCCAGCTGTGCCAGCTGTCAGACGCCTGCATCCCAGAGAAAAATGATCAGAGCGTCTGGCTGTTATTTCTGTCTGTGTCATGATTTCACTCGCTCACTCGGGAAGTGTTCTCATTGACCTCCTAAATGCTGAGATTGATTGCAGAGAAGTTGAGCAGCACTATTGATCCGTGAGCCTTTATCGTTCGCCGCATGCCGAGAGCAAGAGGAGAAGCTTGGGAGGAAGCGGGTGAACAGCGGTCCACAGGAAAAAAAAAAAAAAAAAAAAAAACTCCTGCATGTTAACCAAACTAGGTGAATCCATATTTGTTCCAGCTGAAGGATTCTGTCTGACCTGCAGTGACCTGTAAACCCGCTATCAAGTCGCCCAAAAAAATGTAAAGAAAAAATATAAATTTGCCTTCCTGGTAGTTCGCAGCCTCTTACCCAGTTCATCCCAGAGCTGCCGGCACTTGTCTGTCATCCCTGTGCCTTGCTGTCTCCACAGTGACAGTCGAGGGTCCGCCATGAATTGCTCCGTTATCAACGTAAGCATTCGAGCGCCGTTGGAGTCCCGCATTCGGAGCATCTCCCGTACCTGAAAAGATCGGCAGCTTGTGAGGAACAAAGTCAGCATCGTAACACGCTCCACGTTCTCCTAAACGGTAAAGTCAAAGCTGCCGCTTCAGAGCAGATGGAGGCCAAAAGCTAAACAGGAAGGCAGACATAGTCATTTTTCGACCTTTGGTTTCAAACTGTTTATTTAGGCAAGCATTTTTCTATGCTTGCCTGACCACTGACTGAAGAAATCTTCATTTCCTTTAACGGAGTGAAAACATTGAGAACTGTTTGGCAGAAAACATGTTTTGTAATGAAAGCGACATGCGAAAGTGAAAAAAAAAAGTGTGCGACAGGAGCACCATTGAAAGGTGGACGGAAATTGTGTGTTAAGATCAGAATGAATGAAAAACAGAACTAAGCATGTAAGACTGTAGAAAGTCTAACAACTTTTATTGGATAGTACAGAAAAAAAGTAGATTATCACACAATTGGAGTGCCCAGTGTTACACAAGCGTCTTGGATGTAGACACAGGCCAGTGTAAGATTCTCATTTTACAATTACTTTGAGTAAATCTGCAGTTGCACCATTTCCCATCTCGTCATATTGAAAAATGTGTGTTATGTAGGTCTGTAAGTGAGGAAATTAAACTGACTTTGTTTAATACATGTAGGCTAGAGAAGATACAGTGACATGTACCTAGGAGAGAATAACCCTACAACACTAAAATGTTCGGCAGAAATGAAATAGTGTGACAGTAGCATAAAATACCAGGGTTTTAAAAACATGATCCAATTAAAAAGAAAATGCGGCAATTTACAGGACCCTCAGTTTTGCGAATAACGTGTCAGCGCCTATTTGTATTAAGCAAACCACGAGAAAGCAAGTTACTTAGTCAATGCTAAAGTAAGCAAACGTTAGCATGTTGCTACCCAGCACAAACATTACCAATTACGCATGTTAAGGAATTACTCACATTAATCTACAAGTCAGTATTGGATGACAGCCTACATATAAAATGTCAGCAATCAGCAGCTAACATTAAGTGCTATGCTAGTAGCTTACATGCTAAATAACTTACTGGCAAACATGCTAACATTAGCATATTACTATTGACTGCGCACATTGTTAAACTGAAGCTAGGTATGATGTTTTTAGGTCACAAGTCAAATGCTAACATTAGCCAATAGGTTAACATATTGGCATATAACAATCATCTGCTGTAGTCAAATTAATTATGCAAGCATCACAATTTGTTTTCAAGTAAACAATAGAAATATGTGACAGCATTTATGCACTAGTTTTCCTGTGACCTATTGTAAATTTTAAAGACTTTAAAAGACAGTTTTTTAAAATGTTAGGGTACTTTGATGACTGGTTAGCAGCCCATTATTAGTGGTTCATTAGTGGTTGCTTCAAATCTCGCATTCAGCCAGAAAATAAGGCATTTCAGAAAACATAATCAAACATACTCAAGTTGACTTAAGCTAGATGAAATTTAGGCCACACAATATCCAAAGGACCATACTTCAAGTTTTCAAGCGCAAACAATCAATTACAAAGTAAAATCCCATTCTGGTCCACACACATGATTTGGTCACGCGAACCTTTGCAAACATGGAGTTGAGCTGCTTTCCGGAGCCGTAGTATCCTCCCTGTGACAAAAACTGTTTGACCTGCTCCCTGACTTGATCCTCGTCCAGATGCCAGCAGTTATCATCGTCAATGCTGGCGCCTGCAGTCGGGTCTGGAGCACCTGAGAAGATGAACACGGACAGCGAATGTCAAGCGTAGAAATCTGGAAGTACAGCGTGAGGCATCCAGTGTTAGTAGAATAAAGCGTACATTTTACATGCATATGTTCGGTTCTTAATTCTAAGATCAAATTGACCAAAGGAGCATAAAAAAAATTGGACTCATAAATCTTCAACTTAATACCGACAAGATGCAATCGCACAACGCTAATGAAAAGTCTTTCTTTTCACTCTTTTTTGAAAACCTTGCAGTGTACCTACATTCCGATTTGGGGCCAAGTTTATTTTTTCTCCTGGCTGTGTGTGTGTCTGTCTGTGTGTGTCTGAGTAACACTGCGGCGAAATGTAGATGTGCTCCGGTGGGGGGAGGACGCTTTGATCTCGCAGGAAGCGAGTTGAGGAAAACCCAGAGATGGGTTTCCAAACCAGGCCGGGAGAGCGCAGCAGCAAACAAGCAAAGTTTCTCCATCAAAGGCGCCCTCGGTTCTGGACTGCCTGAACTCCAACCCCCATGATCCCTCTTGTCAAACACCGGACAGGAAGCGCAGCGTGAGGCTTCCTGGACGCAAGCTTTGGAGAATGTCAACATTTAGCGAGCAGGATGAAACAGAGACGGAGATAAAGACTTTTGTTTGGTGAAAGGATGCGTCTGGTTTGTTGTCGTTCCCGAGGCGCGGCGCTGCCTCAGCTCTCAGCTTCTGTTTAATCTCAATCCTTTCTCCGACCCTTTCATCTTTCCTCTCCCCTCATCTGCTTTCTCCCGTTTCCCAGAAAGCCTTTCCCTCAGCATCCCCTTCCTTCTTCCCACGTCTTTGCCAGTGTCGTCTCCAGCGTCCATTTCATCAATCAAGTCCCTTTCCCTCTGATTTATCCAACCTGCCTCTATTGGTAGGAGGGATGGAAGGGGTGGTGGCGGCTGCGAAGATGAAACTGAGAAATCAAATGAGGCATTTGAAGCCCTGGCTTGCTGCGCCGCCAGAGTAATCAGGTGCCTGGACATGTGGCAGCCTGTGGGCTAGCAATAAGCATTTTTTCCCCCTCAAGTCGGACGTCTTTCATGTCTGCCCTGTTACTGTGAAGATACATCTGCAGAGAAAATGGTTTGGACCGCCACAGAAGACCTACTACATCGCAAGGATTTGGAAAAGCATTGTACTTCTGCGCCGGTTGTCGCCAGACGGATTCGGTCCGAAAGCGTGACGGCGTAGAAGTTGTCCAAAGAGACGACTTCAGATGGAGATTGAAATGAGGCAGCTGGGGAGTCTCACCGTGAACCTGGTTGATCTCGGAGTTGGAGGAGAGGATCTCATCGGCCAATTTCTGAGCCGTGGGCAGAACCTCAGTGTGGTGGGCAGTGATCAGATACTGGACCAGCTTCTGCAGCTGATCTCTGTTCATCTGGAACAGAGTTTCTGATATGGGCAACCGGAGCTTCACCTGCAAAACAAAACAAAAGGTGAAAGGTATGACATAAAAATTCTGGTGGCTTTTTTTATGTGATAAACCAAGACGACGTAGTGTACACCGGAAGAAAATATTAATTTAAAGTCATCAGCATAAATAGAGCTGATGACTTTAATGATACTCTTCATCGTTCCACCTTTAAAATCTTGATGCAAAATGCATCAAGATTTTAAAGGGGTTGAATTAAACAAATTCAACTCTGCAAAAGTTGAATTAAACAAATTCAACTCTGAGGTCACAAGGGATACTTCGGCAAGTCGCCGTTCGTCCGCGCCCTACATCTTCAACCTCTTACCTGCTCAGGCTTGCGGATCCTGTAGAGCGAGAGCGCCACCACATGCGCGCAGTAGAAAATGTCTCGGTTCCCACAGCCACAGGTGACCGAGGTGATCTTACATCGATCAAAGCTGATTGCCACCTTGTGGGTCACCTCTGGTTCCGAGGCTGTGGCCGTCTCGGTCACAGTGCCGCTCAGATGAAACCCTAGGAGACACAGGAAGGAGGCAAAGGGGAACTGTGAGACACTTTTTCCGGCTTTCCATCATGCAGACAATTGAAAGCCCAAAAGAAGGCAAGAAGAAAATAACACAGATAATTCAAAGATTATCTACAACCACCGGACCATCAAGACAAACTTCGTGAAAAACGCTTTGCCAACAAGGCGTCTCTGACGAAGCACTTGTGCCCTTTAGAGAAGGGCTTTGAAAGGGTGGGATGAGTTTTAAATCGGACACACATTCACTTCCCTGACGGCCGGCTAAATAAATTGACTTTAATTCTGTTTTGCACAGTTAATCTTTAGGGCCACCCCTCACACCAAGCTTACCATTTACTCTAGTCCTCTGCTGGGCTCCTCTTCCGCAACTAATGGACAGTGTTGCACAGCACTTTGCGTAAATCAGACATAATTGGTTGTACTTAACCAGCTGTTTGGCCAATTTCAAAAACAGCTGGATGGAGTTGTTTTTCAGCTGAATGTTTTTGCCTTTTAACCAGTCGGCCTCCCAGCTTGGTTCCAGCAAGCGTCAAGAAAAATGTAACTCTGAAGTGATGTTAAATGTATGGTCAAGTAATATTTTACTATCTGGAATATACATAAATAAAGGTTTTCACCTTCCTGGACGCTCATGTTTAGCGAACTTGATAACCTGAGATCTGCATTTCGCGGAAGAGGCGAACCGTGGAGTACCACAGTTCGCTCTGACCTGGGGTTCAACCAATTCAAAGATTATCAGCAACACATTTTCCAATCGGAACACTTGCTTCCACCATCAACACATCATCCAGCAACTTTAAAGACAAAAGAATATCAGGCAGACTGCATCAAGAAAAGGAGAAATGTATCTTTTTATGCCCAAGCAGGTTTTTCTGTGGTAGCACCAGATTCCCACCACAGTCCAGGTCACCTGTTGCTAAGTTAACCATTTGTTTCTAGTCCGCGAGTTGGTGGACTGACGACACAGAGTACACCCTGCCTTTTCCTCCACTGAACGATGAGAAAAGCCTACAGAGCCCACTGTGACCCTGAAAGCATCGCGGGCACAGAGAAACAAGTGGCTCATTGTCTGCTGACAATATTTAGAACTCACTGGCATTTGCTGACAAATTTTGAAGGAAAAAGAAGAAGAAAAAAAAACGCGTACCACCTACTAAGCTGACCTTTTATAGCTCTAGTTCTGAAAGGGATTATTGTGACAAGAAAGGACAAACTGAGCAAAGAATACAGTACAGAATGGAACAAAAAGCAGGCAGGAAAAGAAGTGTGAATGAAGGAACGGAGGATGAAGCGGGACAAGACAGGAGGAGCACAAAGGAGGAATTGAGGAGAGGAGTAAAAGTATCAGTTATGTGACAGGTCAATTATTTACCAGGCGACAAAATAGGTTACTGAATCCAACCTAAAACCCAAGCTGACTACTGCTTCCTCAGCTAAAGAAGAGAAGAGACACAAACACACTAAGTTAAGTCTATCAAGACCACCGAAAAACAAACATAAATGCGTCTTGGGCAAAGAAAAGGCGCAGATCTATAGGGTTACAAACACCATCGCTGACACAGTCAATAATACGTCAGCTCTATTGTGTTCTGTGCTAGCATTGCAGGGCTGCCTCATAAGCGCATTTCCATCCATCTCCAAAGCAGAATCCAAAAACAAAATATTTTTTAGAGCATGACCATAAACCGCAGGGTCCAATCTACAGCAAACTGCTTTGAATTATGCAAAAACGTTCAAGAGATCAGATCATTCAGGAGATCTGTTGGGAAACTCGATCCCAACCCCAAAGACTCTGCCCACACGTGTGTCACAGTGAGAAGTGATTAGGCGCAGAGGAACGGCCGTCTGCAGCGCGCAGGAAACAGGACGTGATTCAGCACAGCGTGGAGCGGTGCCACGAGCGCGAGTGAGCGGAGAAACAAGCGGATCAGCAGAAATGAGCCTTTGGAGTTCCTGGATTGCATTTAACTGCATGTTTGTGCCTTTTCGGTATTTTCCACAAAGGCCTATTTTTAAGTCTGGCTTGTGTAAAACCATTTGAACAGACGAGCGAGCGCCTTGACATGCCAACTCAACACGGCGCCAAAGAAACCACATGCATGCCAGTGAGTGATCTGTGGGTTGACATACTGACACAATGACCTGACACAGACCTCTTGGTCGCTCTTAAAAAGCTCCCCGTGACGTTTCATTTACCTTCATGAATGCTTTCTAAACCTTTTGTGTTTCGAGTTGTAGCCCTATTTATTAGAAAAAAACAAAACAAAAAAAAAACATCTAGACCTTTACTTTGACTGTAATCCTCAAATGGCTGCAAATATTTCAAAATCCCACAGGATCATGATGCTGAAAGCTTAAACAAAAAGTCTAGACCAACACTGCACATGTAAAAGTAGCGACTTGAGTGATCCCCGGACATACCTCCATACCTCTACCTGTTGCCAATGCTGGAAATGGCAAGCCTAGACTCTTTCCACAGTGACAACTTCCACACCAAAGACGAATCTGACTTAGTAGCGATAACATGTCTAGTCTTGTGTTTGCTCTCCCAAACGAGCATGGTTTCGAATGTTTCTCGCCTGTCCACAAACCACCACTACAGCTAAAAGAAAGAAAAAACAAATAACTCAATCCGGGTTACTGGACAATGTCTGCCGTGAATCTATACCTAATGTCAATACTTTTGACAAACCAAGAAACCCCTCGTTTTGTACGCTGCTGACCAAGACAATTTGTCTTTTGCACACAACAAGACATCTGAACGTGACAGGATGGATGAGGAACAGACTGCAAAAGGGAGAGAGAGGCTGGTGCGTCTGCCGGTGATAGACACGAGGACTCCTCCAAAGTGTTACAACCTCCCACTGAGTCCTCCCACTCAAACACACTGAGTTGCAGCACGGTAACCGTTGTAAAATGTCAGACATGGCTTTTCCAGTTCTCTCCTGCTTTTCGACATGCACACTCTCAGAGCCGGTTTGAGCTAACCATTAGCCCAAAGTGTCCCCAAATTTGATCTCACTCAAATCAGCGCAACGGAGAGCCGAAGAGGAAGGGGAAATCAAGAGTGCATTCTTAAAAGCACGCAGGAGGCATTTGAAAGCTGCCACCTTCACTCACAGCAGTCTGAATTACATCCTGCCAGCCATCGGCCACTTTCTGCACTCGTCTCCAAATCCCCATGCTTCCGCCCCCAATTTTGGGAATTTGTGAAGTTTAGCCGTCCAGGTGATGGTCAGGGTCAGTCATTCCGCAGCTGACGGCGCGGGAATGCGCCTTCGGACCCGTCGACCCCTTCTCTTTCCGCCTGCGTCTCCTAGGTTAACGCCCATTGTTGCTCAGGCCACCGGGATGAATGCGATAGCGACACCGCTGCTCTTTTCACTTTCAATCAAGTCTGAAATGGCTCACTCACAGTTCACAGTCCGTCTGTCTGGCACCCCTCCCCTCTGGCTCGGCCGCTTCTCCACATAAAGAGAAACCTCATCCCTGCAGGGTTTAATTAGCCGGGTTAGTTGGCGCTTTCGGGGGATTCGCACCTCAGCAGAGACAGCGAGACCAATCCTGGCAGATCATAAGACGCTCTTAAACCTTGATTGCTTTGCGTTTTTTTTGTTGTTTTTAATTCTGATATACTCGTTTGTTAAAATTGGCGGGTTGCGGGTTTCTTTGGGGCTCTGGAAGTCATCAGGGAGCTCTGGCTTTAGAGCTGGGCGTCTTGTATCAACTACTGTTCTTCTGATTGGCAGGTTGCTCCATTTTAGCAGCAGCCACCCACCCAGGAGTTTCATTTATAGCACAAATATGAGAGGAGAAACAAACTTCTCATCAGGAGTCAGGCAAGAAATCAAAGCGTATTTCCTGTCATCTTTTGGCCTTCATCATGGGCTAAAAGACTTTTAAAGCTAGAGGGACGTGATTAGCCTAATTATTTATATATGTAAACGTAAAATAATTTTAGCAGAGTACTCCAATCACTGTTGCTGTGATTATGACCCACAAGAGAAGGGCTGTGTCTCTTAACCTTGTGTTACTCCTTTCATCGAACGCAGCTCTTGTGTGTTTCCTCGTGTATGTGTCAAGGCAGAGGAAGACAGCGTGTCTTCAGCAGATGGGGAAGCAATGACACTTTATAATAAAAGACGCGGCATCAGACAGTCTGAGAGAACACACACAGGCACACACACACTGCACAAAAAAAAAACACGAAAAAACCCCCACAATAAACAAAACAACCTTTTCAAGAGCCTGTCTGCTTTTGTTCTTAATGCCATAGCGAACATAAAGAAGGGACGGTGCCGACTGTAGTCGGTGATATTCACAGTAGATATCGCTGATCTCCCTCCCTCTCTCTCTCTTCCACACATTTTGGTCGGGCAAAACAGATGAATTTCTAACAAAGATGAATTAGGGGTGTGATGTGTGCAAACTGGGAGGGATGCCAAGTACAACGATCTGGCCTAATCCTTAGGGAAGAGAAATAGAAAGAGGAGGGGAAAAAAACACACAGGGCCCTTTGGTGTGTTTGTGTGTTTAATCTGCTCTGAATACAGGTAGGCAGGCCACCCTTGCAAAAACCACACACACACACACACACACACGCAATCTGCCACTGGTACTGACATTGTCTATACTGACAACAGGGGTGTGCATGCGTGTGGCGTTTGTGGTCGCTCGTGCTCTTTATATTTAGAGCAGCCTGAATTCAGAGAGAATCCACATTCTGATGTGTTTTATTGAAAGCGGAAACAAAACAAAGAACCGCGGCGGTTTCTCGTGTGTCAAATAAGCAAAGTGTGATTTTTCACATCGGACAGAGTGATTGGTGCGTGGGGGAAACCGACAACGAGCTTCGAGTTACAGAACAGGCAGCTATTGTGCATCCTTCTATTGTAATTAAATATATATACACATGCATACACACTCCTGTCTCCTTCCTTTCCGTTTGTACGCCATCTGTCACTCGCCGACAACTCCGCCCACACAG